CCTCACTGTCTCCTTCACCCCCTTCTGTCTCACAGCGAGCACCTGTGACAAACAGGCTTCTAGAACGGGAGATGACCCTCCCCACCCGCCCAGGAAGAAGCTGGGGGTCCCGATGGGGCCACGCCCGGTGCTGCACCTTGGGGTCTCCAGACGCTACCCCTCCCAAGAAATCTCAACGGCATCCTTTTAGCTTCAAACCCTAGGCTCCCAGATTGCAGAACCCGAGACCTACCTCCCTTGCAGGAAGGTCACACCACAGTGGGAGAGAATGGAGGGGCCTGGGCCACTACACTTGGACACACCCCCACTCCTGGTACAGAACATGACTGTGAACCCACTGCACCGGCGCTGGGTGGTGTGGCACAGCCAGGGGAGGCTGCAGTACAACCCAGCGCCTTCCATCGCTCAATCCGGACTTTTGAATAAGCGTCAAATAAAACAAGTGGGGTTTGCACTCAATTTAATTTTTTCGGCTTTGGGAAAGTGGGCTCAGCCCAATCGCCATGGTTCTCCAGCTGGGGTGGCCCCACCTGCCCTCCTACCTCTGGCAGAGCGTCTCAGATCCTTCACTACCTTGGTATCAGGTGGGGAAACTGAGGCAGAGTGATACTTAGGCAGAATGGGGCTGAGGTCTCCAATCGACTAGTCCCTCCTGAGGGTCCTTTGGGGGTGGGGGTGGGCTGGCCACTCAGTTCATCCAACCCAGTCCAGTCCTTCTCCTCAGGAATTTTACTGTTTTAGCCCTTAGAAAACAGGGTCCTCCAACTGTCAGCTCTGTCTAGTTCCAGAACATTCCTCAGAAGAAGCCCTGGCTTCATGAGCCTTCACCCTGCCGGGACTGCAGGCAGCCTCCTGCACACACTGTCCACACCCGCTTCTTGGGTTCACCTGGACATTTCCTGTCACAGAGGTTACATTGTGTGGCTTTCTGTGTCTGGTTTGCTCTCTGTCGGGTTGCTGTAGGGCAATCCTCTTCATGGTTGAGTAATACTCCATGTGTCTGGGCTCTGGTGAGTCACTCTGGTGAGGCCAGACTGTGCTTGCTTCCTGTTAGACCATCATTTCAACTACTCAGCTGTTGGATGGCAGATAACTTTGTCTCAGATAACTCTGGCTTACATGTGAAAGAGCCCTGCCAGGGGACTCTGTTTAATTAATGAGTTAGTGAGGATATCTTTTAAAACTTGCACAATTAGACACACATATTCAATGCTGAGGGACTGTATCCCTCCACCCCTGTGTTCCAGTCCTCACCCCAGAACCTCCAGGCCTGACCTTATTAGGAATTAGGATGCTGGAGGGTGTAATTAATTCTGATGAGGTCATGTTGGGGCAGAGTGGGCACTGTGCCAATAGAGTGTCCTTTTGAGAAAAGGAACTTTGACACAGACCTAGGACTCATGAGGATGATGACAGAGGCTGAGACTGAACTACAGGCCAAGGACAGACAGGGATTGCCAGAGTCAGGAAGGCCTCCCAGAGCATGGGAGGAGGGGGACACACAAGGGAGAACAAGGGAGGTGATGACACACACCTTGAATCCCAGCATTTGGGAGGCAGAGGCAGGAGGAGCTCTGTGAATTTGAGGCCAGTGTGGTCTACAGAGTGAGTTCCAGAACAGCCACGGCTACACAGAGAAACCCTGTCTCGAAAGCCCAAAAAACAAAACAAACAAACAAACAAAAGAACAGTCAGTTGCTGTGGGAGATGGAGGCAGGAGGATCAGGGTCAGGACGCTCTCTGCCACATATCAAGTTTGAGGTCAGCCTGGGCTACATGGGACCTTGGCTTAAACATAAGTGTGGCTGAATGTGGTGAGCTCCCCCTTAATCCCAGCACATGGCAGGCAGAGGCCGGAGGATCCCTGTGAGTTCTAGAATAGTGTGGGCTACGTAGTGGAGATCAGTAATAAAAGAAGAAAGTGGGGTGGTGATGGGCTCAGTAGAAAGCCTGGCAGCTTTCAGGAGGCTGAGGCAAGAGGATCAGGAGTTCAAGGCCAGCTTGGTCTGCAGGGTGAGTTCCAGGACAGCCAGGGCTACACAGAAAAACGCTGTCTCAAAAAACAGACAGGCAAAAGAATGGAGGGAGAATTAATTTGAGTTTTGTTTTGTGACAAGGTCTCATGTAGCCCAGGCTAGCCTGGTACTCACTGTGTAGCCAAGGATGACCTTAAATTCCTGATCCTCCTGCCTCCACCTCCCCTGTGGTGAATGGTGTCTCCAAAGGTAGCTCCATCCCATTCCTCCCCACCCCACCTCCCACACACGGACACAAACACACAGAGTTCTCTTCAAACCACCTCCTTGTGGCACTGTTTGGGAACCAAGGAGACTCACACAGCCCCAGGCAGGTCTATTCCACCACATACCTGGGGCTCCATCCCAGCACTGGGGAGGCTGAGGCTGGAGGATTAGGAGGCATTCCGGGTCATCCTTGGCTACATAGTGAGTTCCATGCCAGCCTGGACTACAGTGAGACCCTTTGGCAGAAACAAAACTTATTAGGGGAGAGATTCGGAGGTACGGGCAGCAGGTGGTCTTTGGGATAAACAGATCAAGGAAGCTCCAGGGACTGAGCCCCAGAGGTCTCAGCTTGTGCAAGGGCCCTGAGGCAGGGTGAGGAGGGAGGCTCGCGTGGCTGAGCGGAGGAAGGGAGGGAAGGAGGGAGGGACG